CGTGTGCCTTGGCAGTCGTCAGGGGACGCGGGACCTGGGGGACGGAAGGGAGGCCGTGGGGACACGCGACCACGGACGACGACGTTTGCTCGGCTGCGGGAGCCTTGCCGGGAGCTGGTCCCGGCCTCTGAGTCTTCAGTGCTCTTTATTATTCAGACGAGTTTTAACTGGATTTTCTGGGACTTGCAACAGAAGGAGTCCTAACCGATCTCAGTGGGCGGGGTTTGTCACCTGTCAAAGAGGTGAAGCATTTCAGGCAAAGGGACAGGTGTCTCCTGTGTGGGGCAAAGCCTGTCTGATAACAAGGGAGAGAAGGCCCCACGTCCAGAATGGCGTTTGGTGTAACATTTCCCAAAGCTGCACTTTTCCTTTGGTGGGTCAGTGAGCAGGGAGGAGCCCACCGACGCCAGCACCGTGCTGGGTGTGGGGGTCAGACGCCGAGCAAGAGTGGGGGCCCCGCCTCCGGGGAACCTGCATCCCAGCAGGAGGCACAGACAGCGTGCTGGTTATAAGGTGATGACTGAGGCCCAGGGGAACAGAAGACGCTGGAAGCTGTCACAGGGCCTCGTCTAGGTTGGGAAAAGGGGTGAAGGAACGCTTCCCTTCTTCCCTGAGAGCATGACATTTAAGCAGGGTCTGAAGGGTGAGCAAAGATTTAACTAGCCAGTGGGGGAGGAGCTGGGGGATATTCCAGGTAGAGAGAACAGCACATATTTAGCTATGAGGTTTCTAAGGGCGTTAAAGTGTCAAAGTGCATTGTGAGCCCGGAGAGGGGCCGAGGTGTGCGGTCCCCAAACGTGTGGATGCGGAGTTCCGGTTTATTTGAGACGCATCTTGCAGGACTTAGACAAACGAGGTGTGTCTGCAGGAATGAACAGAAGTGTTCTGGGGGCAGAGGGGACCTGGTGCTGGTTCAGGTAAAGGCCTACGTATGAGAGTAGAAGGTGGTAACAGACAGCTGATGGATGGACAGACGGGTGTTGGACAGACGGATAGATACAAGGTAAGTCGATGAGATGACGGGTTGTGGACGGACAGTGGATGGTGGAGGGAGAGAGGGATACAAGACAAGGCCCCCAGGGCCAGGGGAGGGAGGGCTTCCATATCAGGATAAAGAGTTCGTTGGTGTCTGAGTGCAGATTCATGGCTGAGGTTTATGTGAGGGGCTTGGGGGCAGAAAGGAAGTTGCAGTGATCCAGGCGTGAAATTCTAGGTTAACGTGCAAACCAAGGTGGGAGAGAAAGGCAGAAATTTAAGAGACAGCGCAGAGGAGGAGCAGGCAGTTGCTAATGAGAGCGATGGGGAGTGAAAAGAAGGGGAGGAAGCAGAGGTCAGAGGCCAGGTTTCAGGAGGCAGAGGATCTCTAGAAAGAAATGCAAAACCTCCTCTCCGCCGCCAATGACTAGGTCTCCGCGCAGTGGCAGGAACACTGCAAGTCACCAGGTTCCCAAACATTTGCTGAGTCCCTAGTGGTGCTGGTAAGCCTGGGAAAAGAAGTCAAGAGCGATGGTAAATCGAAGCTCCGAGATTTTCGGTGGGTTTTGATCACCTGTGTCAGCGTTGCCGCGACTACTGAGAGCTGCCTCTGTTCTCCTTCACGGTGGTGGCGGGAGGAACGTCGCTGCCCTCAAACCCGAGCAGCCACTTTTCATTAGGAGGAGAGAGAAATAGAAGTTTCCTTTCAGGTCAGGATGTTAGCAAGATGAACAAGAGGAGACATTTAAGAGAAAAGTCACTCAGCAGCACCCCACCCATCACTCTCCCTGTTTCATCTCGCCTGACCCGACACCCCGAAACATCAGGGTAAGAAATGCAGGCGCAGTCAGCGTTCGGGGCCCAGGCCTCCTCCCGGGGCGGCACCGGGACTAGTTCAGCCGCACACAAGTGAGGGGGGTTCATCCCTTCCCACCGTTGCTTCTTTGGGGAGTCGGGGCCCCGGGTCGCGAGCATGTTGAGGCTCTGCCTGCAGCTCCGGCGGCTGAGGGGCTGGGCTGTCACAGCGGGATGCCCGTTGCAGTGGCTGCAGATTCCCGAGCATCTCAGAAACCCGTGACCAGGCTGGTCCCTGTGCGAATCCCCATGGGTCAGCCGGGCTGGGAGGCGGACCCGTCAGCCGTGCGTGCCGGGAGGTCCTGTCTCACTGGCTTCGTTACTGTTGGTGACGGGCTTTCTCCAGATGAACACGGTGGTGCCATCTACCCTCAACATCCCTTCATGCTCCTGGGATCTGAAGTACACGTTAACGCCACGCAAGAATTATTTGTGTCTAATTTAAAGTGAAGTGTGGATCGTAGACGATTCCAAATGAGTTTTTCAACTACATGAATGTCCGGGGTGATGTTTCAAAATTCTGAGGGGTGCTCTTCCCCGTGGGGGATTGACAGTGTAGGATACTCTGCACCCCTAAATGCCAGGCGCCCCCCTTAAAAGGCCCCCGCTGATTTCCATCACACTCTGGCTATGGGGCGGAGTGACCTCTTTGAGAACCTGTCACCACTGACCTGTGTTTACTGACATGGAAAAAGGTCTACCGTGTGTATTTCAGCACAATGCCGGCTAAGGGAAAACCTTAGGATCAGTGTCTGTAATAAGAGTCCACGTGTGGAAAAGGAGTAACCTAAAGGCCCCATCTGCAGGTTCTAATGCCAGGTTTTCTGAATTGGCTGAGTTTTTAATAATGATAAATAATCAGAGAAATAAAGTGATTTCCATTGGGCAGACAAATAACAAGAAGGCAGTGTTAACTCCCGCACCGCTAATATCTGGGGCTGGACAGTTCCGCGTTGCCCTGTGTGCTGTGGGATGTTCAGACGCTGCCTGGCCTTGACCCATCAGGTGCGGGAGCACCACCACAGGTGCAGGTGGGAACCGAGGGCCTCTCCAGATGCTGCCAGCTGACCCTGGGGAGGCGAGCCCTGCCCTGGCTGAGGACCTCGGTCGCAGAGGACTCAGGACCCAGGCTCTCGAGACCCATTGCCTGGGTTCTAATCCAGCTGGGCCGTCCGTCCTGTTAAGTAACCGAACAACCGTGTCAGGTTCCTTGCTGGCAAAATAGGTGATGGCACCTCATGGGGTTGCTTGAGGAGTAAATTTAAAAATGTGCGTTTCAAGGACCAGCACAGTTCCCGGAATGTAGTAAAATGCACAACAAATGTGAGCTTTGATTGTCAAGAGAAGAAAGCCTACTTCTAGGGCGGTGGTTGGGGGATGTTAGAAACGGATAAACGCACCTGGTAGCGGAAGGAGCTGGACCCCGCCGGCCACTGTCCCCAAGGACTGGTCTCTTCCCACAGGGTCCCTGAAGCCCCTCTCTGGGCTGGTTCTTCGCAGGGATCTGGATAAAGTCGCACCAGGTCCCAGTCCTTTTCTGGTGCCTGGAGAACAGTCTCACTCCATAATCAAGATGCTGTCTGATGTGTAAAACTCCGAGCTGCGCTCGAAGGTGATGTTTGCCCCTCCCCAGCCCGCACAGTGGAGGGGGCCTGGGGTGTCTCCCTTCCTCACCTTGTGCCGGGGAGGGAGCGTCGAGGCTCCGCCTCCGGGAGGAGGGACCAAGCCTTCCACCAATCGCGGCTCGCCCTGCCCCCAAGTCCTCCTGAGAAGATGCTCAGAGCCGTTCTTTTTGGAGCGGGGCTGCTTTGGTCAGTTCCTCAGGGACCCTCCCTCCCCGCTACGGTCCACCCCCTGCTGTGGATCCCAGGACACAAGAGACACCCCTACCCCTGCTCCCTATCGTGGGGGGAGCATGTCCTCCACTCCTGGCCCTGCCGTGCGGGCAGCGGCGCACAGGTGTCCCTCCATCACCTAACCCCAGGGGTGCCCCGGTAGCCCGGCAACCTGGCTCCAGGTGAGGGGAGCAGCCTGCCGCTTCAGGCCGTGGGGCCGAGAGGGTGCGGGGTGCGGGGCGCTGCGGGACCCATCATTTCTTCTCGGAGGAGTCGCTGCCTTCAGCTGTTCTCACCTCGGTCCTTCCCACGGGGCCAGCGGATGCTGCAGGGACCAAGAGGTGTGGCTGTGGGGGTCGTGGTCTGGGAGCCTCGGACCAGAGAGAAAGGGTTTGTGGGTGCCCTGAGGCCTCCCTTCCTGGTCCCCTGTGTTTACAGATGGCTTCTCTGTGGTCCAGAGGCTCCCGGCCACATTCTCTGACCTTTTCTCAATGAGGCAAGACGAGATAATGTCCTCGGGGAAGCCTGTGGTTTTCCTCCAGAAACTCAGCTGCCTGGGCCCAGCTCCATCTGATAAATCAGGATACAGAATCTGTGTCTGCCCTGAGAAGCAAAGGTACCGCCGGGTGGAAAGGGAGGGTGCTGTGCAGACATAGACGATTAGCTCAGACTTGGAACCTGTCTGAAGCACCAGCAGTTCTCAGAGCATCACCCATGGAAGCCCCTGGGGCAGGACCGCCTTCATCTCCTCATTTGCTCCCAAAGTCATCTCTGTATCTCAATTCAGAATACTTAACCTGGGTAAGAATTCTGAGTCATCAACAAAGAGCTAAATTACACCTATGGTCTTTTTTTCCCCTTAATTGAAGTATAGTTGATTCACAATATTGTGTTAGTTTCAGGTGTGCAGCACAGCGATTCAGTTATGCACATACGTGTATATTCTTTTTCATTATAGGTCATTACAAGGTATTGACTAGAGTTCCCTGTGCTGCACAGTAGGACCTTGTTGTTTATCTATTTTATAGTAGTTTGTATCTGCTAATCCCAAACTCTTAACTTATCCCCCCCCCTTCCCCTTTGGTAACCATAAGTTTGTTTTCTGTATCTTACGCCTACGGTCTTATATAACAAGGTGGAAAAACATGAAAGAAAATGGAGACATTTACATTAAAAATGGTGAGAACAGGGTATTTGGGACCTTACTCTCTCGTCGCCACTTTGTGCCTTTTAATCTCTTCTCAGATAATAGTTTTCTTCC